CTTTCCCTAAACATACCCAAGATGGCTTTCCACACTGATGCAAAAGTAGACTTCCCTTAGAGACCAGAAGCTAGAACTTGACTACTCCAGCCTGAATTTCTTCCTTGCCCCATCTAATGTCCAAATTGTATATCTTTCACATATAAGCCAAGGGCTAACGGTACAGATAGATACTGTAAATTTTCAATGAGCCAGAAAGAGCTGGCCTAGATACACTTTGATGATGCCTCCATGAAAGGCAAATACAAAAATAACAGGCCATGAAATATCCTATTAGGGACTATGGGCAAGAAGACGATTATTTAAAGTGGAGTGTAAGAATTGCACTACTGTGATAGGAATTCTCTCAATCACCCCAAGAACTTTGAGGATTCTGTTTGTATCACACCATCATCAACCATTGCCCTGCTGCACACACATACTTTTCAGATGAGCAGTCATAAGTCCAAAAGTCTCAAGAACCAGCCTGGAGTCATGTGGCTATCAATCAAATGAATATGTGAAATGTTCTCCCCTCAACCCGGGGTTTGAGGTTTATTTCCCAAGGCAACCATTATCCAAATGTATGTGTGTGTGTGTGTATATATATATATATATACACACACACACACATATATATACACACACATATATACACATACATATATATACACATGTGTGTATATATACACACACACATATAATATACAGAAATATATGTATATGCACACACACACTATTTCATTTGTTCTATAGACAATTTTTTGTATTTGTAATAAATAGAAAATTTAAAATATGACTCTAAGAGTCTAAAGTGTATTAATAACAAACAATCATGTTTCACTATTTTATAGTCCCACTCTTGCTACTTTATCTCTACCACTGACTTTACCGTAGGATCTTTGCTATATATTATACCTCCATGATAAGTAAGACTTAACACTAGTGTCCTTTCTCTGTCCTACAAGTCCATTGATTTCTGAGTGACTGTTTTGAGGTGGGTCCTATTTGAGGTGCTAGAGAGGAGGGTAACTTAAACCTGATTCCTGATTTTAGAAAGCTTAGAGTCTGGCATTTCACATAGGTACTTTGTACACATTAAATTCACTATGACTTCATGACTATGGCTATATTGTGTATACACACACACACACACATATATATATTCTTTATATCTGTGTGTTGCTTCATACATGAGTTTGCACATGTACAAATGTTCTGGACAAGGAGTTTTTGAAGTATCTCTCTCCTAACAACTATTGAAATAATTTCATTAATATACATTGACCATAAAGTCACTGCTCAATCAATGTCATATAAAGAGCTGAGATAACTCTTCAAAGTCAATGTGCTGTCAGTATTTTCTCCAAAGACTTTCACGCAATGATAAATTTCAGAATTTGGAAGCACCGTATAGTATATGCATGCATCTTAATTTTTGCATGTGATCTGTCTTGGTCCATGAGTATTTTTCTGGCAATATACAGGAAGGTATGATAAACAAATGATAAAATTGGACAAGAAACAAATCAGTCTTTTAAATTTACAAATAAAGAAACAAAAAAGAGGCTGAATATCGAAGGGCCCTGTCAAAAAAAACATACCGCTGGTTAGCGTGAGAGGAGTGACCAGGACTCAAGTCATCTGACCTCCCTGCTGGTGCTGGTTCTGCTGCCTGTGCTCCTTTAGGGCCAAGTTACCCTGACGTCCCATCTTGACAGAGTCCAGAGCAGAGAATGAAACAGACTTGGGTTTCCGAACTGATGTTAAGAGTGTGTGTTAGGAGAACCTGAACAACAGCCTTCATCTCTGTAAGTCTTAATACAGTATCTCATCTTGTCTATAATAGAGGGAGACATATATCCTGCTTTATAGGATTCAAATAAAAAAATAAATGTACTTGCAGTGTCTAGAGCACAGAAGTAGTAAGTCTGCAAAAAGAGAAAAAAAGCTTTCGCTGTTATTATTGCACAGACCTGGCTGGATGTTTTTCTGAATCAAGGGAAGCAGATGGAGGGGTTCTAGAGGTCATCCATAGAAAACCCTGAATAACTTTTAAATAAACGTATGGAAAGGAGCTAGTGGAGAGAAGATTCCAAAAGTGGAAATAAGACCATTTCAGACTCAAAGGAATCTTCCCTATCATCTTTCAATCCCATGATTTAACCATCTGTCATGTATTTCCCCGGGCTGTGATCCCTAGTGCATCTTCCTTGTATGTCTCTAGTTGAGGAAGATGGAACTGGTACCTTGTTGGAGAAACACTAAGCTCTCAACTGACTTCCCAGAAACAGAGATTAAGCCAGTCAGGAAAATAGCAAAAGGTTAAGATGGGTGGAAATCGAAGGAGGGAGTGAGGAATGACCGTGCAGAGGCTAAAACATGTGCATAGTCTTAGTAGGAAGATTGCTGGAGCATTTCCTCTTCCCACCTTCACCACACCCCCAAAGAGTTCTGAGATAAATAAAAAAGGCATGGAGGGAGAGTAGTGCATAGATTGGTGATTCAGCAAGTATCTAGAAGTTTAAATATTTATATTTTATTACCAAGACAAGTAATTTGCAATACCATTATGCCCTTGTCATTTTTTAGTATTGAAATGTGTGTATATATATATAGACATACACACACACACACACATATACACACAGAGAAATGTATGTATGATAAATAAATGACAAAATTGGACAAAAGGAATCAAGGGGAAAAATAGAGAAGGATGACATTTAGGGGACACAGAAATAGAGGATTGCCTGTTGAAGAAAAAGTGTATATCTTCAACTGGTCTGGTGTAAAGTGCATTCATAATGGGTAATCTATTTTACAAGCTATAGTGATGTACAATGATTGAGTGTATAAAATAAATAAAAATAATAATAAAATGAAAAATAAAAAAATAACTCAGGTTTTTTTAACTTCACAAACAGTGAAGTTAAAAGTCTGAATATTGAAAAGACCTGTCCAAAATCACACAACTGGTTATTATGAGAGAATAAAACACCCAACCACCTACACACACACGTGCACACATATATGACAGCTCCTTATTGAAAAGTACAATTTTGGGGCCAACAGATGGCATAGAAGTTACATTGCTGGACTCCCACATGGCCTACTGCAGTTTGAGTCCCAGACCCGGTGGCTTGAAACTCACACTGGGTGCATATGCGCACCCAAGATCCCTAGAGGAGAATGGAGGAGAAGGGATTGTGGTGTGGCCACAATCCTGGAGGGATTATTTTTCACTTTCCCTCTTACTTCTCCTTACTCTCTCTGTCTCTCTCTCTCTGATGAGTATCTGAACCATAAGATAAAAACCTTTAAAAAAAATACAGCTTTCTTAGGATGAATTCTTTATAGTCACATTTAAGCAGTTATGAGTCCAGGTAGTCGACTGAATAGTTAAAATCAATATTGTCTAAAATAGTATCAAAGAAACTTAGCATCGTCCTAAACAATCTATTGGGTTGTTAGGAAAGTCATGACACATTTTTGTGTAGAAAAGCACATGACTTTCCTGACAACCTAATACATTCTTTATATCCTGTGTTATACTAAAGATTTTAAATAAGCAAATGCATGTTTAATGAGCAAAGCCAGCATTTACACATATGGTAGTATATCTGTAATGTGTTGTTTAGAAGAAATGTTTGAAGTAATATCAATGTTATAACACATACTTACTTCAGTAGTATATGACTCATGCATGTTTGTTAAAAGAAAGTCTGAAAGATTCTCTGCCAATGTGTCAAGATTTATGAGAGGAAAAATAGAATTCTAATTTCCTTTGTTTGCTTTCCTATTGTGTGACAAATTTTCTTACAATGAGCTTGAGTTGGTTTTGTCACGTAAAATGTATTTTAAAGAAATACAACAGTACTGCTTAGTGTGCATAATACACATGTTCTTAATCATAGTTCATTCCTTTAGAAAATTCTGTATTAGGTGAGGACATTGAGTTGACTGTCTACAAACTTCCAACGGAATTAAAAATCTGAAACATGGACAAGGAGCCCTGATGTAAAGGCACTCAAAGAGGAAAGAAAAGGAGGAAACACTGACTCATTCAATTGATTTCCCCTTTTTTGGGTCAAGCCAATGAGAAAAGAATTTCAGTATGCTGTTCTTTCCACTTACATGTGGAGCACATTATACCCATTCAAAATCTACCATTTCTACTGTCCAATCAAGTTCTGGTATTGGAATAGTTCACAATTCATATCATTTCACCAGTATCATGTTTATCCTTAACACCTTAATGAAGCTCTTTAAAAAAAAAAATTTACAACATAGGTAAATTGTCCGTTGATAGTTTGCTCTTCATTGGTTCATGTTCCTTCCTACAGTAATTCTATAATTTTATGTACTCCAAAAGCCAAAAATTTGATAACAGTGAGAAGAATGCACATTTATTGATATTCTGGTTTAAGCATACTCACAACTCTGTGAAGTATGTGATATTTTACTTTTATTTTAGCAATTAAAAAAGTCAGGGTAAGATTATAAATAAATTATAAGTAAATCTTCATGCTTATAAAGACTAGAGTCAGAATTTGGTTTCAGCCTAAATAGGAAACCTGTGTGTTTTTGGTTTGGTTTTTTTTTTTTTTTTTTTGGTAAGACTGTTTTGTTTCAAGTTTTCGATAGAACACATGTACTCGCCCAGAAAAAGACAGAGAGAGGGGACCAGCAGTTGGCATAATGGCTATATTGCTGGACTCCCTTGCAGTTGACCACAGTTTGAGTATCAGACCTGGTGGCTTAAACTCACACCAGGTGCGTGTGTGTGCATGGCCAAGATCCCGAGAGAATGGAGGAGAAGGGATTGCGGCATGGCCATCCCCCATGGGGGTGGGTGATTTCTCTCTTTCTGTCTGTCTCTGTCTTTCTGGCAAGTGCATGTGCCCTATAGCAAAAAACTTCTAAAAATGAATAAATAAATAAAGACAGAGAGAGTGAGAGACAATGAGAAAGTTCCCCCACATGAGGAATGCTCACCATAATCCCTTCTCCTCCATTTCTCCTTTTGAGATTCTGAGCACATACACACTGGGCATGTTTTGAAAGTCTCTGGATCTAGGACTCAAACCATGCAGTCAACCATGTGGGTTCCAGCTACCTAAATCGCCATGCCATGGGCTAGCCTCCAAGTCTTTTTTAAACACATACTTCTTGAACTGTTAGTTGAATCATCAATTCTTGTACATGCCAACATTCAACTTTAATACATGTTATTGTCTATATGTTTTCACTCTTTTTGTCTATATGGTATTTGTTTCATAAAAAATGATTTTGTTTTTTTTAAAAAAGGAACTGTGAAGATAGCAAGTGATGCTGCATATGGTTGACTGCAGTTCAAGTCCCAGACCTGGTGGCTTGCTTTCTTACTTTCTCTCTCTCTCTCCTCTCTCTCTTCTCTCTAGAGCACACATGTGCGCTGTAGCAAATTTTAAAATAATGATAAAATTAAATAATTCTTTAAAAAGGAATAAATACATAAGGAAAAGTATATAAGAGCTCATCTCATTGAGAAACAGTCTCTGCAACATTCTTTTGTGGGGAGTTACAACAGCCTTGCAAAGTACTTACTGCCATATTGTGATGCTCAGCTCAGTGACTCCCCTTAAACCTAAAGTCTCAACACTGAATCTAAATACAATATGTGACCTTGGTCATTCTCTGGCTCTATTTTCTACATCTATAAAATGATCATCTTTGAGAACATTTTCATTTCTATAATTAGTTTCTATACACTTCTAAGTGATGAGAGACTAAAGACTTCCCGCACTGTTCTTTGTTTGTAATCAGCTGGCACTACAATTTAGGATGCCAGACTTTCCGTATGGTAGTGCTGATTTGATTATGGTTAGAGGCTGTTGTGTCTCTAGTGTGTGTAGTTACAATTGACATTGATGGGTATAAAGCAGTTCACAGTGCTTATTAAATCTAGTCGTAGAATTTGAATGTCCTGGATTGCCTTTAGTGTTCTTATAAACTAAGTCATCCATACTTTGAAATCTGACCTTCCTTAGCATGAATAAGTCTGGATTTCAAAGTCATCTGTGGTTCCACAAAGAGTCCCTGAATACTTTTTTAGCTCCTGTGCCACACTCTGAAGGTCCAGTTCTAAATAAATTCTATTATGTGTTTGCTTTACAGGTGAACTCGAGCAAGCCTGTTATTGAAAATCTGGTTCCTGGAGCCCAGTACCAGGTTGTGATGTACCTAAGAAAAGGTCCTTTGATTGGGCCACCTTCAGATCCTGTGACATTTGCCATTGGTAAGTTGCAAGCTACAAGAATAATGACTATTTTTATATGCAAATCAGCTGCAGGGATTGCAATGTGAAAGGCCTATACCAGTTTGCCCAATGTTGCAGTTTCAGAGTAATAGGCAAATTGTAGGACATTAAACCATTGGAGGACGTGCCTAGCACTTACTAGAAAACACACACACACACACACACACAAAAAAAAGAGGCAAATATACTTACTGCAGTTTTCAATGATGGATAAAAAAAATGGAAACCCTATTAGGGAGAAGCTTAAAGCCATTGCTAAGACATTAAACATTTCTCCTTTGCTTTCTTTTCTCTCCCCTACTCCTCTTTTTCATAGTTCCCACTGGAATAAAGGATTTAATGCTCTATCCCTTGGGTCCCACAGCAGTGGTTTTGAGCTGGACCAGACCTTACTTAGGAGTGTTCAGAAAATATGTGGTTGAAATGTTCTATTTCAATCCTGCAACAATGACATCCGAGTGGACAACCTACTATGAAATAGCAGCGACTGTCTCCTTAACTGCATCCGTGGTAATCTTCTCTTAACTAACTGTCACACTTGCCTGTGTCGACAGACATGATTTTATGTGGCCAAAAAAGTTGGCATGATGATTAAAGCACTGGATCCCACATGGCCAACCATGGTTTGAGTTCTAGACCTGGCAGTTTGAAATAATGCTAGGCATCTTGCCTACGTGCCAGAAATCTCTGGAGGAGAATGGAGGAAAAGTGATTGCAGTATGGTCATCCCCGCTAGGGAGGTTGATTTCTCATTTTCTCTCTGTGTCTCTGTCTCTCTCCAGCAAGTGCAAGCACACTATGACAAAAAAAAAAAAAAAAAGAAAGAAAGAAAAGAAAAGAAAGGAAAAGTTACCTGTATCTTAGATTTTTAGTTATTTTTGCTTTTAAGTTTCTGGATGCTTGGGGATCTGTCTTTGTTTTTAAGAGGAAAAGAAATAATTATGTGAAACTAGCTTTTCTCCCTAATTGGATTATTTGTTAATCAAAATTTTTCCCTAATGAATTTGCTTAGAGTAGAACTATCAAGTACTGATTGTTTCTGTCTGCTCCTGAGGGGGAAAACAGCCAGTTCCCTGTAGGCGTTCAATAGCTAATTGACACTGCCTAACTCTAATGATGATTCTTGTTGGCACTTACAAATCAGTTGAATACCTACAAGGGCAGGCCATTAGAGGATGGTTTTCAAGGTAAAAATTGTTCTGAGACTGGCATAATTTTATTTTTAAAAAAAAGGTTTATTTTCATGAGTGAAAGAGGCATACAGAAAGAGAGAAGCAAAGAGACAGAATGACAGCACCACTAATGGAGTCTTATTATTGCAATCCACTCCCAGCCCTAGCCAACCTCAAATCATGGCACATGTGTGCTCCGTGTGTTCAGGGAGGTCTCCAGATGTGATCCTGGAACTTTTCCTGCAGGTCAGGCTCATTGCATTCTACTACTGTGCCACTGTTGTGCTCCCTGGAATCATTCTCAAAGTGTAGGTTACCTACAGGTTACTTGTAGTGTACACCATTGCTCTCTACCCAGCTGGCAACTCTGGTAATTGCCACCAACCAGAATTCCT